TTGGTAGTTGCTGGTATTGAGTCGTTATTGTTGTTATTACTGTTCTACTGTTACGAATAGCGTTTTGTTAATTGAGCTGATTTNTGCTGGTATTGAGTCGTTATTGTTGTTATTACTGTTCTACTGTTATCAATAGCGTTTTGTCAACTGAGCTGATTTGCTGAAAATATCTCTTTTAAGGGTATTCCGGGTGGTCAGGCAGCTCTACAACGCCTCTATCAGGATGTACAAGAGCCGCTGCTGAACAGTGCGACTAGTTCGTTTGCAAATAATCCATTCGCATCACTCGTTGATAATTCATCAAATACAAGTTTGTTCATTTTTTTGTTTGTAATGATTGTGAGCATGGAAATTTTATGAAATTTTAGTTGGTACTTTAGTTTATGAAATGTTTTGATTATGACCGATGAGATGCAATTGAATTGAATTTATTTGTATCTGATAGGTAGTTGTTGGGTAGATGATAATATATTGGATATTTATGTTGGGTATTGTTGAGAATTTATTTTACTCATGTGTTTGTATTTGAGATGTGAATTTGAAATTTTAGCATCGCGAAGTCAACGTGCTGGAGTGGAGAATGCAGAAGCACTGCCGAATCCTTGGGGTGGTTCTTCGGGTGCCACTCAACCTACGAACACAACGGGGAACACTGGCAGCACAGGCGGCGCAAATACTAGTGAGACAACGCAGTCACCGAATTTCATGGCTGGTTAGATTCGTTTGTGATTTTGATTTCATTTTGCCGTTTGTGATTGTTTGCCAGTGATTGTTATGAATTGATTCATTTAGATATGTTGAACTCGCCGGGCATTCAAAATCTAACACGTCAACTATTGTCCGATCCAACACTGGCTCAGCAGCTACTAGGTGGTGAAACGATGAGCAATGTGGCACAAATGCTGCAGCAAAATCCGACTTTGATTCAGCAGGTTGATAATTATTAATAAAGTTTCGTGTTATTATTATTATTATTATTGTTTTGTTGAGTTGGTTGTTATTATCTTCATTATGATGACTTGTGTGTGCACCGTTAACTGAGATGAATATGGATTGGTAAGATTAAATTGATTGTATCTCCAAAAAGAGATCTGTACTGATCATTTTCTGTTGAAAAGAGTTCATCTGCAGTTGATCTGATCATTGAATTCTTTGTATCTCTAAAAAGTGATCTCTAATAATCGCTTTCAGATGCTCGCATCAAATCCAATTTTTGCAAACAATCCGGCAATGCAACAACAATTGCAAGCAATGATGCCACAGCTGATCAATTCGGTTTGTTTCAGAAATAATTTTTCATTGAGTTGTTTTTTCTTTTCGTGATCGTGTAATATTTCTGTATTTGTTCATGCGAAAGATAAAAATAAACACAAAAGTCACAAATGTTATAGTCACCTATCAAACTTTCTGTTTTCAAAAGATTACGAATTAGGCTGATTTTTTATTAGTAGAGGGAATGAGGCTCAGGTTAGCTAAAAACCGGATTGGATTGAAAAAGCAACGTTTCGGTTTCATTTAGGTCTATTTAGTAGCTTTCATTAAGAGTTGATTTGACTTGTGCTTAGAATTTGCTTTGAGTTTTTGATCGAGCGGTGATCTTTTCAGTTGGGAGATATTCATATTGTTATTGAGTTGAAAGATATGTTTATATTCATATTGCAAAAATGAACATTCGTTTATGATTGATGTTTTAAAAAAAGCAAAGGTTAAACATGCGAACTTGATTTGTATTTGTTATTGATTCGCAGATACAACGCCCAGAGACAATTCAAGCGATGAGCAACCCGAGGGTACTCGAGGCAATTCAACAAATCCAACGCGGCATGGAAACATTGCGTCGTGAAGCACCACACCTCCTTCNTTATGATTGATGTTTTAAAAAAAGCAAAGGTTAAACACTCGAACTTATTTTGTATTTGTTATTGATTCGCAGATACAACGCCCAGAAACGATTCAAGCGATGAGCAACCCGAGGGTACTCGAGGCAATCCAACAAATCCAACGCGGTATGGAAACATTGCGTCGTGAAGCACCACACCTCCTTCCTACCGGAATGCCAGTGTGAGTATTGTTTGAGTGGAAGTAGTTTATGATCACTTCGTTGAAAGTTGTGAATTTAGTAAATTTTTGTTCACTCAGAAATTTGACTTCATTTTCCATTTGATTGTATTTTGTTGCAGTTATTATTAAGACTATTGCAAATGATTTTATTAATTGTTTTATTTATTTATTTATTTGTTTCAATTTGTTTGTTGACTCGTTTTTAATTTCAGTTTCCCAACAGTGCCGACAACGAACGCCACTTCAACAACTTCAACAACAACGTGAGTTTATTTATGTTTTG